ACACCATTTTGTCTCAGATGACTTTGATCATCTGGACAAGAAATCAGCCTGTGAACTAGTTTTAGCCGGACGGCGAAGCTAAAGCAATTCTCTCTCCACCGTTGGATCGTGACTATAATGGATTTTGTGACCGAATTGTTGAAACTGAAGTGCTTTTGCAATGCTTCTTCGTCAGTGAAGAGCGTAAACCATACTCCAGACAGGTATATGTATAGGCACCGGACAGAACAAAACTTAATCCGCCAGTCAAGGTCAGTCTACTCGTCTATGAAAGCTATTCTTTAGAAATAGCTCTAATTGCAATTGTAATTATAACTTTTGTAGGCATAAAGCCCAAATTCCGGTTAAAGGTGTACAAATCGGAGAGGGGAAAAAAGCCAAATCCCAAAACTTTTGACAGTCTGTGAAAACCTATTCTTTGTTAACTAGAATATATGGTAAAGAGGGTACTGTAGAGTTACGATATATGTTTATTCGAGAAGGAACACCATGGAATTGGGATCTCTTTGACGGACGGGAACAACAGAAAGTGAAATCTGTATGCAGCCGATCTGCGGGGTCGATGACAATCTTATGTATGAACTTTTCACGTGCATTCAAACGACGTTCGCCGGATTAAACAGACGCGATCAGTGACGCTCAGTCTACGTCCAAACAGTTTAAAATCTTTGTTTAGGAGATGGAAACAAAGTTATCGAAGTTTACTAACGATATGAAGAACTGCTATCCCACACATTTAGGATGCCTTGGTGGCCACTTCCTGTTCCTTAGAAAACGATCCAGCAACTTGAAAAGGCAGCTGTCATTTCCATCCTGGATTGAGCAAAAGAAAACCAAAGTAAGAGTTCACTTATTATCTGATTACTTGCTGCTGGGACTATTTTCAGAGGGAATCTGAATCTTACCACCTGGAAGAAATGGAGTTAACACTCCACCTATTTTGCCTTCATCATATGGTACTTGCAGATATGGGAACATCTCTACAGCCGTCTGTCTGATCGGTATTCTTCAGCAGTTTATTGTGTAACGTAAGGTTGTTAATGACAGGCGGTGGTAGTCACCAAGGTCATCAAGTTATCGCCCTGGGGGAAGGGTGCGTTCGAGTCCCACTACCACAGCCTGACTTTTCCCAATCTCTGATTGACCTTTTCACCTTTAATGAAAATTGTATTATTATATGTATTCAACAAAATTAAGCAAAATAAAAAGATTTAAAAAATCAAGACGATTGTACACCTGCTCCTTCAAAAGGTCCTCCTAATTGTACCCCGCCGCAAGATTGCTCAGTTAGTTGTAGGACGAAATCCTGCAATGATGTATTCCACGTGTACGTAACACAGCATTGAATTTGCTTGTTCATTTACCAGGTAGTCGGTCAGCATTACATGATCCAGCCACAGCCGTTTCGAGTGATTCACTGGTAATTTGTTTCACCTGAACAACACAATATGAATTGAAACAAGCCTTTCCCGAGAGTACTTTCAAAAGAAAAGACCATATTCCAATACTGCACGATTTATGTCCAGGAGGGTTTTGCTACATCTCAACGTGGTTCATACTACAGAAAATACAATGTTTATATAGGGCTTTAGTGTGGCAATAAAGTAAAGCAAAATACATTAACAAACCAGACAAAACACAAGAGAGAGGGGGTGAAAGGACCATATCATCAGGATAGGGGGAGACTAGCAAAGTTCTTTTTGCTGACACGGGGACGGGGGATTTCCTGGAAATGTGACTCAATCGGTAGAAAGTGGAGATTCACAGAGCTGAAAAAGGATACAAATCACTCAACAATCACCACCACCACCGCCACACCCGGACAATTTGCGTTCATCTATTTATGTTTGTTTCAGGCATTCCGGACACGGGTGTGATCCACATTTTATAGAACGGTCATTCACCTTTACCCGAGAGATCTTTTAATCTATATCAGTAACTTAGTACCTCTGAGTTGGAAGGCGAAAGAAAGCATTGTTTTTTTCTGACAAGTTGTCAGGTTGAACGAATGCTCATGTGATGTTCATACAACCACGATGAGCAGGTTACGTATGATTGCAGTCGTTAAGATTTAACTATAGTCACAGCATTCTATCAAATTCTGAGCTGAGGATTTAAATGCAATTCAGTTTCTTTTTCACATAGCATTTTGGTTTTCACCGGTATCCGTGGTGAGTATTTGTTTTCGTTAAATAAAAAACACACTAAGTGTACTGATGGATTGCGAGCCTTCAATTATCTTCGTCCCCAAACAGTTCAAATTTGAGCGAGTCACAATGGTGTTCATACCCATCACGATGATAATCCGAAGAGAACATGGCACTAAATGTCTACAACCAGCTGAAGCTGTACGCTATTAGAAATATCTTCAGACCGCGGACAGGATCACGGTTGTCAACTGTTTTCGTGGACATTGCTTCACTGAAGACACATTCTTCAGACTATCACCAGTGATGCTCGAGGATATGGTAAGCTCTTTCTTAGAAAGCTATTTCTTTACAACAAAAAGCCGCAATGAAAGCACAGCAACGTGCTTGAACCTGCTCCGTCACCACTAGCACTCGATGCTTTACGTGCAGCGCTCGGTTAGGCGGAGTTCAGAGGTCACGATTCCGGGAAAAAGGCTGAATGGTACCTGTGTGATGCTAGTTACACTATAGACTCCCAAGATTGGTAGTCAGTTCATGCAACAGTCTAACTCCATTCAAGAAAGATAGATTATTCATCCATGGTACAATCAAAGTAGCTCTATAGCCTCACCGAACCGCGCCAGAATACAGAATCTGGAAGTGTTCAGTGGTATTTGTCTCACCTGAGCCTGACTGTGAAACAAAGCACCAAATATCCGGTATTGCTTTTTCGTCGCGGTTCATGATCTCGAGCGTTAGGGCAAACAGTATCAGTGTTCTTTCATCAAGTTTATCGACCCATGTGTGTGTGTATGCGTCATATGGTCATCACCATGACAAATGTAAAAAGAACTTGCTGACAGGTGTTCTTCGGTCCTGGTGAAAATAGCCATGTAGTGTTGCGCTATGCATGCTCACAAACACACAAATGTATCGTCGCATGTGGATCGAGCAGCTAGCTGATACTGATTGTCCACGATCTGCAAGTGGGCCGAATACTGCCAGGTTGCCCAGGCCAAGGCAGGTGAATTTTCTTGGGGAATCCACAACCGGAACCTTTGGCTAACCAAAGCCTGACCCGCAAGGCAGCGGGGCGGTGTGCGAAAACCGCAATCGATTGGGAGCCGGTGTTCAGTTCATTGGATCATACGCCATTCCGGCGGGGTCAAACGTCCAAGGTGCCCAATACACCTCGATGCCCAATGGAGCCGGTNTATATTTGGTTTGACGAGACCCGAGGAGGCTAGTTTACTTACGGGAGATGGAACAGCTCAGGCCTCCATGGTAGAGGTGTATGAAATGGTTCTGGGAGGTTTACCATAAGCTCGACCTACCGATTTGCACATATAATTCGTTTCTGAAGGACTGATTGCACATCAGCCCGCAATATATATATATATATATATATATATATATATATATATATATATATATTGCGGGCTGATGTGCAATCAGTCCTTCAGAAACGAATTATATGTGCAAATCGGTAGGTCGAGCTTATGGTAAACCTCCCAGAACCATTTCATACACCTCTACCATNGCGGGGAAATAAAAGTCAACTTCGGAAGAAACAATTTTTTAGTTTGTTTACTGCAACTGCTTTGGTTTGGACAACCTGAGTGTTATGCTCACGCAAAAATTATGAATAATTTTTCCGTCATCAAAAACGTTTAATCCAGAATCCTTTTGCCACAAAGTATGGAATCAAACCAATACGACTACGCTGAATGAGCAATCAAAGTCAAGCGCTGCCTAGAAATGCACAACCGTATTAAATTGAGATCAGTTATAAAAAAGAGTCTCGGTAAAGCAAAGTCTGGGCAGAAATTGCTGTGTTAGACAATCGGTACCGGAAGTTCTAGAAAAGTGCTCGCCCTTTTTGATTGAACGAAACTGATGCAAATAAAAACCGGAAAATGACTGCGTTGCCATCGGGAAACAACGTGCATCTTGTGGCTCAGGGACGCACGCCCCAGTTGTGAACTGGAGTAGCACAGAATTACGCGGACGCGCGACAGACGAGGCTGAAGACGTGCAACCTGCTCCATTAAGGCAGGTACCGGTACCAATAATACTTGGGTCTGAGTGTTTGCGTCTCACTGAACCTGTTAGGATTACGGCGTTTCGGTTCCCTTGCCTTGCTGATCTGTTATCAAATCAGATCCACCGGGGACCTCTGGGTCAATGAGTCCTCATAGTCCAGTGTCCTGTATCAACCGCAGCCCAGATATTCCGCTGGGCGTAGGTCGTTCAGCTCCTTATCGTTTAGTATCGCGAAGACCACGAACCGGAAGAGATCCTGTCACGCATTCCTGTCCACCACGGTGTCTGCGCGAGCCCCGGAGTACGTCCTCACTATACATGCATACGTTATGCTGCTAGCTTCTCTAACAGTGGTTCTACCATTGTTTACCTCTACTATAAAGGAAGTACGATAGATGAATTATCGAGATACGGAATGGGACCCATCTAGATCAAAACCTGTAGAAAGATGAATGCGTTTTATGGTAGACCATAAATGGGTACACAGATAGACAGATGTATGTTTGATAGTCGATAATATACACACCGTTGCAATATGCACACAATAGCCTGTTTCGTTACCTGGCTAGGAAGCAAGTGAAGGAGATGTGGTCAAAGGTAGGAACATCCCGTGAATGGGGAAAGAGATAATCGATGGTACTGTTGATAATAATGATGGTCTGATCGATGAGAAAAGTCCTCGCCAGAGATTAGTTGCCAGAAAATCTGTGAAGGGAATCAAATTTCCGTTTTGAAATATGCTGAAACTTGAGTTCAAACCGGGATATCAAGATTTTCTTGGGACCGATGAAAAACGCATGAATAAGCGAAGGATGGAATCGAGTTTGCTCAGAACGGTGGTGCATGTCGGGGCCATGTCTTGCTTAGCGTGCGGCCGGGCCCCACTTCTTGTGTATCCTGAAACCAAGGGAATAGGTGAGACCAGCGATAGACACATGAGGTGGAAGAATGTGCCTCCTGATCGGATAGATACATGACACGTAGCGAGAAAAACAAATGGACTAGGTAGGGAAACGCAACAAGCAGGAAAAGTGCACAAACTGTCCCTATGAGAATGTCCCGATACCATGGACGATTGGTCCAACGTGTCTCCAGGTAACGCACGGTCCAATCGCGCACAGAATGGTACCATGATCGGGCACGAACTGTGAAGCGTGGTTGCGTCAGAATGGAGACAGATTCGGTCAGGAGTTTCGAATCACGCTCGACTGTTACAGTCGGAGTAGGACGAACAGATCGGGCAGGGTTCCATATTTGTATTTGTCTCCACACTCTCGAAACGTAACGCGATACGGAATGCCACAGGACAAGTGACCTGTCAAAATCAGGCGCACTGGGTGGATTGGAAAATCCCGGGGATCGGGGATGAGTAATTTCGACTGAATGTGTTCTCTGTCCTGGATTGCTGAAATTCTTATCTTCCATATTAGTGTCATTCTGGATAGGAGTGAGAACCAATGGGTCTGTCCTAATCTCACACAGACTATCGGCGAGGCTCCTGACGATGGTAGTGTGATCCGAACTGGTTGACAACTGAATGGACGACGGTTGAGGATCGTCGAACAGATGAGTTTCGCACAGATCCGGGGAATGATATGCATGGACGTGTTGCGTTTGTTCCGGGTATTGGTACTGGTATGGTTGATCGAGAACTGTAGTTGGATGAGAATTGTGCGTGTCCAGTGTGGCGGTCAGACCGCACGAGGTGTTGTCTGAGAGTGCCACACTGTGTGCAGTCAATTCGGACGCCCATGAGGTGTCGACGCCTTGTTTGCAGCTGAAGTGGTGGCATGAAATGGAATATTGTATGAGAGCGCGTATAGTAGATTCAACTGATAGTAAATATCAATCAACTAGATGATCTATGGATATGTAGGTTATAAAGAAATTGGGAATAACGATCGGATACAATGCTTCACTGTTATTGATTGTCTATATCGGTCGGTAACACATAATCGGTTTAGATGTGAACACAGCTTTTAACTGTGCAGCATAAAATGTTCTGCCTACTGTACTTCTGAGCTTTCTTTGAACGATTTCCGCCTCCGTATCTCTCGTATGTTAGTCACGGTTGAAGCCGCAAGTATTCGGATTCACAATCCCCTTGTGCGCCCAGAGGAAATTCCTACAAACCCTTAACCTCCCCCAGCCTACTTCATCCACTCCGACACATGTACAATCACTTGAATTGGGAGTAAAAGTTCAAAGACAAACAACTGTTTCAAAGGTGAATTCGTCGCGTATATAGCAAACGAGGCCTGAACTGAAAAGCTAGGAAGTAGTGGACAGCTGTTTCGACCTCGTCGAGTCTCATCAGCACTGAGAATCCATCGACGCAACTGGGGATCGAACCCGGGACCTTACAGGCAGAACGAAAGCATGCAACCCACTCACAAACAACTGTGCTGGATGATCCACTCTCCAACCTCCACAGATCATACTAAAACGAGTATGCAGACTAATATGCTGTGCCGTGTGACTGCCACTACTTAGTCGTACATAACAACATGTCGATCTGAACTCTTCCTATACTGTCTAGTCCACATGACCTTTGATCCATTGGTGCACACACGCGCGTTTTGAATGTGAATTTGCAAAGGTTTGAGAATGAATAAATAAAACAAATTTTTCACCTCAGAAATCGTACCCCGGATGTCGCGATAAACAGAATTTAGGAATGTAAATTAGAAATAATAATCTGCTAACATCGCATAGCGAAAACAAAATGCTTGGGATTGAAGTACTGCAAATTCAGAGCAATCACGTGAGTGAGGAAGCGTGTGGATCAAAAGAGAAAAAGTGGAACAGATGTTTTCGAATCCATACAATCATCATCATCATTTTATTGCTTCGAAAAGGGACAATCAATAAATGACAAAACAGAGTGACGTAGTTTCACACAAATGGTTCACATTGTTAAAAAAAATTAGCAATAGGTGATTTCGATTCAGAATCGAAACGATTATTGGCCACATCATGATGATAACACAATTATTGGTTATAAAAACGAGAGAGAAAAGGATATAGAAAACAAAAAACAAACAAAATAAAACGAAGATCAGAAAAATTCCGAACAAAAAGTGACAGGAAATATGAGCACGCTGATGTCGTGCGGTCGTGAATTAGGGAACAGATGGAGTGAAGTAGAAACCAAATGTCACCTGAATAAAATCAGAACAAAAATCTATTGTCCATGTTCCCAGCTCTTGGGACCTGGGTACTTTGATAATTTTGTACTTAGCCCTCATTTCTGTTCCAGTTAACGTGAGAAGACGTTTCTACAAGTGAGCACTGTGTGGCAATCTTAACACAAGGAACAAAAAGGCATCCAGGTTTCCTTGTGAGACATTGTATAAAACCTCTCACAAACAAAACAGGGAAACCAATCATCGCTTCATATCCAAACCTTCCACTCCTCCACCCAAATGGGCAACCTAAAGACAGCAACCAAAAGTGGCGCAAGAAAGTGCATGATTAATGGTTGTACAAACTGAAAGTGAAATTCAAACCGGAATGGTTGAAAATCCACACTGGTCAAATATACAGATGTAAACAGAGTTTACCCATAGCTAAATAAGCTTGAAAATTCGGCTCGAACCAAATGAACATTCAGTGATTTGCTGTCCGATAAGGTGACCAACTGATACTGTTGAAGAACGAACTACTTGCTTTCTGATTGGTCGAG